TGCTGCGCCGCCGCGGGGAGCCGGGCTGGGCTCTCGCAGGGGCTAGCGGGACCGGGTGCTGTCCGAGCCCGCGCTTCTGCCCGTCGGCCCTCGCGTCCAGCGGGGAGCGCGGCGGGCTTTGTCCCCCACTGTGCCCTTGCAGGCAGATCCCGCTGGGCACTGAGCTGCTCCCGTCTGCAGGACATACAGCTCCACGCCAGGATCTAGATATACCTTCGCTTGCTGCCCTGACCTTCTGAGCCGCTGTGCTACTCCGCTGTCAAGCAGCTGCCAGGGCTCACCACAGAGGTGTCTGCACCTGGACACAGACCATGGGATGCTCGCATGTAGGGATGAGGCGGAAGAGTCTCAGCTGCCAGCTGAACCCACCTGCCTGAGTGAGACAGTCCCAGGCCCGGCCTCGATACAGAAACGACTTCCTAGCAGCAGGGAGGGGAGGTTTGCCCTAAGCGATGTTGTGATAGCAGCAGCACCGGGGCAATCCCTGGATGCTTGTGTGAAGGTGCCGCTACAGAGTTCCTGGCTTAAAATGTTGCCTGGGGGAGGGGTTGCACCCTGCTTTGGTCCCAAGAGCTCTGGAGCCAGGACTGCCAGTGCAGTGGATCTCACCTATGTGAGCATGCCCACATCGCCTGCCCTGTTTACTCCAGGACTCAGCAAGCCCTGAGGAGCCCACCCCATAGGTATTCATTACTGCAGCCTGGCTTAGACTATTTCTGGGAGGAGGAAATTGTACCCATTGGAGCATGAGGCACTGATGGGCACCTCGCTCTGGTTACAGAAGCCCCACTGACTCCTGAGCTGATGGCTGCAAGGCTTTCTCACCTTTGGGGCTGTCCTGCCCCTGTCTGTGAGGCCCACCCCCTGGCTCACCAGCCTTGCTCAGGTGAAGAGACTGCAAGAGGAAGGGCCAAGGCAGGAGTGAAGGGTCTTGTGTTCATCTCCCCCTATCTTGGCTCTCAGTAGGAGGTCTCCCCTGCAGTCCTCTGCTCCCGTCTGTTATCTTTCCAGCAGGCAGAACCTCCCCTGATCACTCATTTACAACTTCCATGATGGGAGCACTCAGAGCTCCAGACAGAGCTCAGTATCCCATGCTCCAGCCACTGCACACCCAGGAGCCTGCCCTAAGGACCATGCAGTCTGAGCAGAGATGTTTGAGAGTGCAGCAAAGAGGGTGAGCACTGGGTAGGTGAACCAAGCCTGCGAAGGATTGCAGCATGCTGGCTGCAAGCCCTCTATCAGAATGGTCTCCCTGGCACCTGACTGGCCACCTGCATAATCAGCTACCTCCACACAGGTGCATTTTCATACGACTTCCCCAGAAGTCACTCCCTTGCTCTCTGCCTGCACCCAGGAAGCCTTTGTGCACTGAGATGAAGCCCACTGCCTCTGGTTCAGGGGTGGCAAGCTACCAGTCCAGTTTTGCCTGGGTGTGGCCCGGCTGCTCCAGCTGCATCCCAGGCAGTCAGATTAGAGCATGGCTTCCAAGGCCCAGGCTCAAGACTCTGGAGTCAGGTGCTTACTAACTTACTGTTGGTAGCTTTTTAGCTCTAGCAGCTTGAAAATGCAGCCCCAGTGCAGTAAACACAGCAACATCTGCTCCAGTCTGCAGTGAGCCAGAGTCAACATTTCCAGGGGGGAGAACACTGGCCCAGCCCAGGACAACTGACAGCAGTGGCTGCAGGCAGCCTAACCAGAGTCCAGCAAAGGGGAGGGCTCTTCTGTGTCACCAGAACAGAGACATCTGCCTGAGCCTGCACACAGCAGGGAACTGCTCCAGAGCGACAAGAAAAAGCAACCTCTACCTGACTGCACAGTGAGCTGGGGCAGGGGCCTCTGAGAAGGCAATCAGATGCAGGGAACTGCATGCAGGCTCTGACTGCAGTCTCAACGCACCTCCCTGCCCAGGAATTGCCTCTCCCTCCCTCTCTGGCTTGCTGACAGGAATGGGTTGCTGCAGTCTGAACTCCAACCCAGACTGGAGTTCAGACTGCAGCTGGAGTTCAGTAGGGCACCTAGGAGGAGGAGGCAACATTAAAGGGGTTTACCCAAGCTGCTTCCCTGCAGGGTGTTCATCAGGTAAAGATAAGCCAGCAGCAGAAGCTGTCCAGGATTGATCTTTACTTCCATGGCTCAGACTGTCTTGCTGACTCTCCTTCATGACAGTGATAGGCTCTGAGAACAATCAGGCCTCAAAGACCAAAACGAGGTAAAGCTTTGAGCCAGTGACTTGCCAAAGCCAAGTGCTGGTTAGTGCTACAGGTTACAGGTGTTTGTGCAGTTGTGGAGGACTATTAGCAGCATGGTTTCTGTGCTGGTATAATAGATATCATACTTCTCTGCCAAAGTGCAGCCTGGTGGATGCAGCAGTGGGATACTCTGAGATGCCAGAAACGCACATGCCACTGAGTGCCCATCTGCTCCCATAACTACCTCACCAGGAGACAGACATGCCAGTCTCCTGGAGACAGCCCAGGCAGGGGCTTCAGGGAGGAGAGAGTCAGCTTGCCTGAGAACACAGGCTCTTCCCCTGGAGCAGGGTGCTTGCTGACTGGGTGGTGCTGGAAGGGCACCAGTCCAGGTACAGTGACTAGAGGATGATACTGTGGGGACTGAGAAGATACTTATCCGCACTTGGTGTGGCCAAAGTGCTGCTCCCCAGTATCAAGGGACAGGGACCTCAACTGGACAGATGGATGGGCAGGTACAGCCTATGCCCTGAAGGGAAGACATGCCAGGAACTCCACAGAGCCCTCTAAGGACTCACCCACTGCTAATTGTCCGATAGGTGGGATGGCTGGGTGGAGCAGACTGCACCAGAGTGTGGCTGGAAACAGCCACAGGAAGCTGATTCCTCTCAGGGCAGGGCAGGCCAGATTTGCTTCAAATGGGTGTGTTCACTCCAAGGTCACAAAGGTTGGGGTAAAGTGGGGCAGCAAGACAGCCCTGTGTTCCCATCCCTGCCTGGCTATGGCAGGTGGTGCTCCTGCAGCTGGCAGACGTTTAGTGCCACCTGGTGGCTAAAGTGTGGAAAGGTCTCTGCCACCCAATGGCTTGGTCTGGGCAGCAGGGCCAGAGCCCTGTGCTTGTGCAATGATGGCAGGTGTGAGAGGAAACACATTTCCATCACAAACAAGGAGGGCAGGAACATGCTGGAGCCAGGACTCAGGATGTACCTGCCCGTCCTGCAGAGACAAGCCTCTGGAAGGACTGCAGGTAGGATAAGGCAAGAAGACCAGGCAGTGGAAAGATCTGGCTGGGAATTCAGTCTTCCCTGCTGCTCTGCAACACAGCGTTAATGTCAGGCCTCCTGGAACACAGCATGACCAGAGGGGCCCTGGCCTGCCTCATTTGTTCTGCATGACATTCAGGCTGGGCACAGACTCTCAGGAGCCAGCCTCCTGACTGGGTGCAGCACACGTCTGGGCTGGACCTGGTATGTGCTTGGGAAGAACCCCTGCTTCAGTGCACTTGGTCATGGGCTCTGTGCTGCCAGCTCAGCAAAGAGGCACTCAGAAAAGGCTCCATGGAGGGGCCCTTAAGTCAGGCACAGCCCAGGACTCTGCTCTCTGCCAGACCCAGTCAGATGCTGCCTGTCCCAGACAGGTGCTGATCATCACCTTTGTGCAGCTTCCAGCCAAGCTGCTGTTGCTCTCCCTCCCTGGTGCCCATGGGCAGTGCCACCAGTGTCCTCTCCCTCCTGTGTGGGGCCTTTGCCATGGCCTGCACCCTAGCATCACTCTGCATGGACTGCTGGCAGGTAACGTGTTCTTCATTGCCCTTAATGCTGCTTGTGGGAGGGAAGATTCACAGGGCTACTGAGAGCTGCATGCTGAAGGACAGCATGGGCCAAGGATTCAGACAGGCAGTGTCCCTTGCAGACTGCCTGTCCCAACCTAACATGAAACCCTGCATCTGCGGGCCCAGCTTCAGCTGCTCAGCCCCAAAGGGGTTGCCCACCTGAAGGTCTCTAGTGCCCATGTGGCTATCACCATGACTCCTAGCACCTCTCTCATTCCCTAGAGGGGCTGAGAGCGAGGCCTGACAAGCCTCTGTCTGTGGGAGCATTGACCCTGTCCAGCAGTGGCCAGGCCTTGGGGGAGACAGGACCTCAGCAGAGCCCAGGGCAGGCAAACAGCTCAGAGCGGCTGCCCAAGTCGGACTGCCGGTGCAGGGCTGCAGAGGAGAGCCGGTGCGGGCCCCGCAGGAGAGGAGGCGCGGGGGACCAGCCAGCTTTCACGGCTGCCTCTCCCAGATCAACAGTAAAGGCTCGGTGGTGCTGAGCATGCGGTGCCGGGGCCTCTGGGGAGAGTGCATCTGGGACAAGCTTGTGAGGATCTGGACCTGCGACGTATTCGGCTCCTACCTGAACCCACAGCCAGGTACCGCAGAGAGT